TATAATATAATATACTATGCATGGAATTCATGCAAGAGTAGGCCTTCCTTCACCTGGCTGCCATCACCAGCTTCTCTCTGACACCTGGGACCCAGGCTTCCCTCTGGCACCTGAGACCCAGGCTTCCCTCCAGCTGCTGGCAGGCACCCAGGACTCAGGCTTCCCTCACAGCCCAAGCTTCATCCGGAAGGATGTCCAGTCTAATTAGCATATTACGCTTTTATTATTATATAAAACATAACCTAATATAACATTATATCATAACATGATACAATATATATAATGTACACTTCTGTATTATTAGCAGCACATGAAAATAAGTAATTAGTTACAAGTAATTAAATAAGAAAAAATGGTTCTCAAAAGATGTACATTTTGAGATAGACCTTGGAAGGTGAACAGAGGACCTTCAAAAAGATAAAGTAGAAAAAGAAGTGCATTTCAAGCACAAGAAATTGTATGTGCAGGAAGTATGGCAAGATACATAGGGTAAAATATAATTCTTGTACAAGATGTTAGTTTTCTTGTCTTGCAATAACAACAGTCAAGGATTAAGTTTTTTAAAAACCAATCCTATATAACAAAAGGGTAATATGCAAATTGACCCTAATGGTGGAACGACCAAGAACAACCCATCCTTATGATGCGCATTGACTACCAAGGGGCAGATGATCAATGCAAGAGCTGCCCCCTGGTGGTCAATGCACTCCCACAGTGGGAGCTCTGCTCAGCCACAAGCCGTGTTGATGACTGCAAGTGCAGCAGTGGTGGTGGGAGCCTCTCCCACCTCCTCAGCAGCAGTAAGGATGTCCCCTGGGGGGAACGGGCCTAAGCCATCAGTCAGACATAACCCAAGGGCTCCCGGACTGCCAGAGGGATGTCTGACTGCCAGTTTAGGCCCAATCCCCCGGGGAGCGAGCGGGCCTAAGCCAGCAGGTGGACATCCCCTGAGGGGTCCTGGACTGCAAGGGAGCACAGGTCGGGCTGAGGGACCCGAATTTTCATGCACCGAGCCTCTAGTATGTTTGTAACATCATGAGAAGAATGTTCCATTTTAGAATGTGTTCTACTAATATACCAAAGAATGAGAGGAGAAAAGAAAGAAAAAGGGAGATAAAAATTTCTGTAAATTTTACCAACTTCTTACAACTAAAATCACAAGCTCAGCGCCACATTTACACCTCTTTCCAGCAGCCTGCCTGCTATTATGGAAGTGACAGCTCCTCTTTGTGCTAATACCCCAAGTCATGCTTCTCTTCTTGGATACTTATTTTCTTATCCATTTTTCATCTTCATGGTCTCTATTACAATTCTACGGCTTCCTCCCTCAAACATTTCAACATGTTTAATTCTCAATTAATTTTATTCTCATTTGAAGAAGAAACTACTCTAATACTTTCCTTTGCTTCAGGGATAAGATTTTTCAAGTAGTGTGGTTGACTCTTCTTCTCTGTCTACTGATAATTCCACTGTTCATTTCTTTCAAGTATCTTGAATGGTCTTTTATTTTAATGTCTGCTCTTTAGATATTATTGTTCTTCAGAATTTGGAATGATGGTCTTATTCCTAAAGTCCCTCTTCTTATTTTTCACCTCTATCTACACTAATAAAAGAGAAACATGGTAATTGGTGTACGGCCACTACCCTTCCCATTGGCTAATAAGCAAGATATGCAAATTAACTGGCAGCCAAGATGGCGGCCGGCAGCCAGGCAGCTGATGCGAACAGGGAGGCTTGCTTGCTTCAGTGACGGAGGACTCCAATGTTCCCCGCCTGACTTACCGGCGTCTCAGCTGCAACTCTAAGTAACTATGTTGCAAATATAGAAGCTAAAAAACCCCCAGAAACCTGCTTTACTCAGCAGGGCTTCAGCCAGCCAGACCACAACATTGTATCAAATACAGACAGTAAAAAAAGGCCAGAAACCTGTTTTCAGCAGCCAAGGCCTCAGAGCTAAAGCTGGCCCAGAATAAAAAGAAAAAAAAAGAAAGAAAGGAGCGGTTGGGAGCTTCAGTCACCCCCAGCCTGAAAACAGCCCTCAGCCCCTCACCCAGACTGGCCAGGCACCCCAGTGGGGACCCCCACCCTGAAGGGTGTGTGACCAGCTGCAAACAGCCATCATCACCTCACCCAGGCTAGCCAGGCACCCCAGTGGGGACCCCCACCCTGATCCAGGACACCCTTCAGGGCAAACCAGCCAGCCCCCACCCAAGGGTAAAATGCCTCCCAGCACAGGGATCAGTGGAGCTGAGAGGCATCACAGCACCGGGATCAGCGTGACAGGGGGCAGTGCCCAAACCCCCTGATCGCCCTGCAGCTCTGTGTGTGACAGGGGGCAGGGCCCCAACCCCCCTGCCCCCCACGGGCCCTGCTCTGTGTGTGACGGGGTAGAGCCATAATCTCCCCATTAGCCCTGCCCTGAGTATGAGAGTGGCGGCGCCCCAACCACCTGATTGGCCCTGCTCTGTGGGTGATAGAGGGTGGCGCCCCAAGCCCCTGATCCGCCCTGCCCTGAGTGTGACAAGGGGCGGTGCCCCAACTCCCCTATCGGCCCTACTCTGTGAATGACACGGGGGAGCTCCTCAACCCCCTGATCGGCCCTGCTCTGTGCATGACGGGGGGAGCTCCCTAACCCCCTGATTGACCCTGCTCTGTGCATGACAGGGTATGGAGCCCCAACCCCCCTGATCGGCCCTGCTCTGTGCATGACAGGGGGGAGCTCCCCAACCCCCTGATGGGCCCTGCTCTGTGCGTGACAGGGGGTGGCGCCGCAACCTCCCCATCGACCCTTCCTTGAGTGTGACAGGGGGCAATGCCCCAACCCCCCAATTGGCCCTACCCTGAGCGTGACTGAGGGTGGCATAGCAACCTCCCAATCTGCCCTGCTCTGTGCATGACAGGGGAAGGCGCCCCAACTCCCCAATCGGCCCTGCTCTGAGCACGACCAGGAGCTGCACCTAGGGATTGGGCCTGCCCTCTGCCACCCGGGAGCAGGCCTAAGCCAGCAGGTCGTTATGTCCCAAGGGGTCCCAGACTGGGAGAGGGCACAGGCCGGGCTGAGGGACCCCCCTCCCCCGAGTGCACAAATTGTTGTGCACCAGGCCTCTAGTATTTTTATAAAATTGATAATTTTATCAATGTATTTATTCAAAAAATATTTTTTAATGTCCTGTGTACGTATGCAAACATGTGCATGAACTGTGCCTGTTGTTACTATACTGAGCAAGAAGGAAACATTTCTTTCTATTTAGAACCTTACAATTTGATTAGAAAGAAACATCAATAAGAAAGTATATAAATAAGAATATTTAAGAAAATATGAACTTGGTAATAAAATATCTAGAGAAAACCCCTTTATTGACATTAAACCTTAGGTCTGACAGATGTAAGTAAAAAAGACACAAATAGCATGGCAAGTATGAGCAAAGAGGAGATGTAGAACACCACAACAAGCAATGAGAAAACTCACCTATTAACAAGACCACAAGATGTGTGCACAGAAATCAACATACATTGGGTTCCAAGGAAAGTCTCAGTCACCCAAATCCACATCAATAAAATATATTATCTGACTATAACAGGATAAAATTAGAACTTAATAATAAAAGAACCATTCGGCAAGAATCTAAAATATATGGAACCTGGAGAGTATTATGCTAATTGAAATAAACCAATCAGAGAAAGACAAGCATTACATGATCTCACTTATAGGTGGAATCTAATGAACAAAATTAACTGATGAACAAAATAGATCCAGAAACATAGAAACATGAAACAGACTGTGGAATCTCAGAGGGAAGGTGGGGGAGGCTGAGAGGGAGGGAAAAGATCCATCAAAGAACTTGTATGCATATATGTAGAACCCATGGACACTGACAATAGGGTAGTGAAGGCCTAGGGTGGGGGGTGGGAGCACAAGGAAGGGCTAAGAGTCAATGGGAGAAAAAGGGGTACATATGTAATATTTTCAACAATAAATATTTAAAAATTAAAATAAAATATATGCTACTAAATAACTTATGGGGGAGGAAAAGGGAAATTCATAAAAATAAATTATATTTAAAGAACTTCATGATAAAATGAGGATGACATAATTAAAACACATATCCAAAGAAGTTTTCTTTTCTTTTTAGCTTTTATAACCTCTATCAAAAGAAAAAGACAAATTAGCAATAGTAAAGCAGATATTTTATATAGAAGTCCAGGTAAAGAACAAGTGAATTAGCTCAAAGGCAGAAAATAATTCACAGGGGTAAAAATGAATGCAATAAAAACAGAAAAAAAATTATGAAAATTAAAGAAGAGTAATAACAAAAATTGACTCTGAAAATATTAAGATAGATAACACTTTTTATAAATCTGATTAAGGGGAAAATTATAAATAAAATGAACAAAGACCAAATTTGGACCCGTTAAAAAACAGAGCTTGAAACCTCATTAATCTAATGACCTCATGGATATTTTATAACTTCTTCATCAGTTTTATAACTTGTCTAACAGTGAAAAAATAGAGGAATTTTGGTATTGAGAAAAATACAGCATTTTTTTCTGAGGAAAGTAACAGTATCTTTTAAACTGGAAATTCCAATCACTATTTGAAAATAGGAAAAGCTTGCATCTGATTGTAGATAATCTCCTTCCATTAGGCATTCATCAAAGTTGATTTCATTTTCCTCCATTGTCTCCGCATCCCATTATTCTTATATTTATGGGAACTTTGGCTAATGATGAGATCAGTCCTTCACAGGATGAGAAGACGTAAAACTCACAGAAGTGTTTCTGGGCATGCCAGTGATGTTAAGATTCTGAAGACAATGGGAATGCATGAATCAAACTCTCCCTTGTCATAGCCCAAACAGTACTCTCAAGAAGGCATTATTAGATCCTGACTAAACAACCAAAAGAAGTATTCCTTTCGTTCTATTTCCTTCTTTTTTTCCTCTTCACTCCTCTTCCACTTTGCTTCTCTTTCCTTCCATGACAAATGTCCCTTTCATATGTTATGGGGATTTGGTAATCTTAGAACCTGAAAGGATCCTTATGACACAGTCTCGTATCTGTTTGGTTTTCACCCCATAGACAACAGGGTTCATAGTGGGAGGCAAGAGCAAGTAAATATTAGCCACAATGATGTGGCAAGAGGCAGGAATTATGTGACCTCCAAAACGATGGGAAAAGAAACAAAAGAAGGCTGGACTGTAGGAAAAGACAATGGCACAGATGTGGGCAGTGCAGGTGCTGAAGGCCTTTTGCCGAGCATCCGCCGAGGAGAGGCTGACCACCGTCCGTAGGATCATGGTGTAGGAGACCGTGATGCACAGGATATCAAAGCCCCCAATCAGGAGAGCAACCATTAGACCATAGATAACGTTGACCTTGATATTTCCACAAGATAACTTGGCTACAGACATGTGGTCACAGCAGGTATGGTATATTATATTGCCTCTGCAGTAGGGTAATTTCTTGGTGATGAACATCAAAGGAATGAAAAGCAATGCCACTCTCAGAAAAGTGGCTAACCCAGCCTTGGCAATGATAGGATTAGTGAGGATAGCTGAGTAGCGCAGAGGGTAACAGATGGCCACATAGCGGTCCAGGGCCATAAGCATGAGCACCCCAGATTCCATCCCTGTTGAGGTGTAGATAAAGAACATCTGAACCAAGCATTCATCAAAGCTGATTTCCCTAAGATGGAACCAGAAGATGCAGAGGGCTTTTGGGACTGTAGTAGTGCACATGACAAGGTCAGTAAAGGAAAGCATGGCCAAGAAATAGTACATGGTCCTGTGCAGGGAGTCCTCATAGCGGATGAGGCAGAGAAGTCCACAGTTTCCCACCACAGCTATAACATACATCGTGCAGAATGGGAAGGAAATCCAGAGGTGCATGTGCTCTAGTCCTGGGATACCATTAAGAATGAATGAGGCTGGAGTCATGTCTGTTTGGTTCAGCATTAGCATGATCAGATTGCTAGAAACATTAAGCAGCTTATAGTTTTTGTGTGTTGCTTAGTTTATATTTTGTTTTCTGATCCTCCAGGATTAGAAAAAAAACAAAACAAAACAAAACAAAACAAAACACAATCTTAGTCCTGTTCTTTCTCTCACTCTCCCTTTTTCTCTCCGGGTCAAATCTGCATTTTAATATCAAACAAATAGTTTAAATGAGAGAAAATATTTACTTAAACAAGTTAAAACTAAGTATGTTTTGATTGTTAATTCATTAATTTGCCAATTCATTAAACAAATACATATTTAACATCCACTATGTCCCAGGCTCAATCACATATATTGTCTGCATTATTTTGAAACTAAGAAGACAGATACAATCCTCACTAATTTATTACTCTTAATGATTCATATTCATATACTAAATACTCTTTGAGGAAGTTGACAAAAATTACTCATTTAATACTCATCACAAGCCTAGGAATTACATTTATAAATTTGCACCTTATTTTTGAGTTAATGGAGACCCTAAAGAGATAAGGCTGCTTTATGTCTGAATTGCTATACATTTAATACCAACACTAAGCCCTTCTCTGACCACCTCATTTTAATTATTTCTTTTCAATTTTGTCATAGAAATGTGTGTTAGAAAGAAATAATATTATAGGATAATAATGAAAATAAAACATAATCCAATTCCATCATTTGTCAAATTCCACCTTCCCGTGGGCAGTTAGTTAGCATTGACTTTTTTATTTTAAAATAATTTGTCTAGACGTTTACTTCCTTTTTCCTATTAAATTGTTTTTATTAAAATTATTACCTAGTGTTTTATTTTTATTATATATTGCTATTATCCCTAAGTCACATAAAATGACATTTATATCTTGTTCCCTATTAATATTTTTCTTTTGATAATAATTTCATTTATTTTGTTTAGTATCTGATGTAGCTATGTCAAAAAATTTTAACTGATTTTCAGAATTGTAAAATGTTTTAAATACAATCTATCAATACTAATCCTTCCCACACCATCTGTCTGTTTCTGGGAAGTGCTGACAGAATCAATCTCTTTTGTCATTTAATATCATGGATTATAAGTAATTATTTACTGGAGGCCCCATGCACAAAATTCGTGCAAAAGTAGGCCTTCTTTCCCCCGGCTGCCGGCACCGGCTTCCCTCTGGCACATGGGACCTGGGCTTCCCTGGCAGCCTCAGCTTTGTCCAGAAGGTCGTCTGGAACGACATCCTGAAAGATGTCCGGTCTAATTAGCATATTATGCTTTTATTATTATAGATATTCTTGAATCACCCACAATCTAAAAAAACTTAATTTTTTAGATTGTATTTATAGTTATATCCAGTATCTAGCAAGCCACCAGACACATTTTACTAGTATATGCTGATAAATACTTTTGAATGAATGAATAGATTAATGAGTAAATGAATAAAATTTTACACTTGAACTACCAGATGAAACAGAACCATAGTGTCTACTTCATAAGTCACCATAAAATATAAATTTCTGTCATCTTTTGTCTGTTCTCTTTCCCCAAAACCATAGACAATAAGTTTGCTTTCTCACTGCATAGTCCACAATTTTACCATCCATGGTTTCCTCTCAACATGACATTAAGTTCCTCCAAGTAAGTTTTACTTCTAAAGTGGAGAAAACAGTCACAGATAAGTCTCTCCAGACATGAAGCAAGTAAATTAGAATCTCATTTGGAGAACAATGGTAAAGTCGGTAAACAGCAAGGGTGTTCTGACCATGATGGAGAACTATGGGGGTGATTTGTACCTGCCTTCCACTACAACAGATTCAGTTTGGTTAGGAAAGTAACTTATTTATAATCATAATGAAAAGTTACACTGAATTGCAATCTGACACAGGGAAATGAACATTTTCCCCCCAAACCCAAGCTTTCACAACACTACTGTCCTCAAATTGGTGGATGGAATCAAACTTGTATTTCTAAGAAGGTAATAATCAATTAGTATACATCCAAACACTCTCTTCTCTTGATTGCACTGCCTATAGAATAAAAAACCTTGTTTCTAGTTCCACGTTTCTGTCCTTTAATACCTTGGTTTCCAGTTATAAAAGCAATAAGTTGAAGGCAATCTGTTCCAGGTGCTCAGGATCTTGGTAAAAAAAAACCCATCATGATTCTACATGAGTTGTTTATTTTTATGTACATATACAGCTCTCAACCTCTAAATCCCTTGATATTTGTACTATTAAACTAAGCATTTAAATTTAAAAAAATGTGTGTTATATGTCTCAAGGGGATATTTCAGCACATTAGAGATACAGGCACTGCTGTGGGAATCAAGCTAACTCCTACCCTCAGAGAATGAAAACTTTCCTTTCTTACTCCTATGTCTAAATAAATAAATAAATAAATAAATAAATAAATAAATAAATAAATTAAAAAAAGCTTTTATATGTTGTGTGTTTGAGTATGAGAATGAATTTATGATGGTGATGCCCCGGCCCCATAACTCACAGGCTTAGATCATTGGTTTGATACGCCAAGGTTAAGGGTTGTATACCTGATCAGGGCATGTAACAGCAATCAACCAATGAATGCATAAATAGGTAGAACAACAAATCAATCTTTCTCTCTGTCTCCCTCTCAAATCAATAAATAAAAACATAAAAAAGAATGAAAGCAAACTTTTAAAAATAAGTATTAGATATTGTAACATTTATTGCAGTTGTTTATTTTTATATAAGGCTTTGTGGGGCACATGTTGAAAACATGTACATACAGAATCAATCCATTTATTCACAAATCTATCCATTTCTTCATTAATTTATTTATATTCTTATGTTCCCAATTTAAAAACATGCCCTGCTGTCATTGATCAGTGGTAGAGCATTGACCTATGTACCAGCAGGTTGCAGATTTGATTCCTGGTCAGGGCACATGCCTGGGTTTCAGGCTGGATCCCCAGTGTGGGGCTTGCAGGAGGCAGCCAATCGATGATTTTCTGTCATCATTGATGCTTCTATGCCTTTCTCCCTCTCCCTTCCTCTCTGAAATCAATATATACATAATTTAGTATTAGTACTCCCCAACATAGGCTAGGACAGTGGTCGGCAAACTGCGGCTTGGCAAACTGCGGCTCGTGAGCCACATGTGGCTCTTTGGCCCCTTGAGTGTGGCTCTTCCACAAAATAATGACTTCTGCACATGGGCCATGAAGTTTCAATCGCACTGTACGTGCACGCCCGCATGTGGTATTTTGTGGAAGAGCCACACTCAAAGGGCCAAAGAGCCGCATGTGGCTCGCGAGCCATGGTTTGCCGACCATGGGGCTAGTATATGTGACTGAACCTAGTTAAGGCCTCTATGTAACTTTTAAAATTCTGGCGGGAGGGTGTGGAGATCTATTTGTCTTTCATCCACCAAAGACAAGCCTTGACTATAAGTTCTCCTGTTTATAAACATGCTACCTTACCAGTATTGAATCGTCTGCCTCTTCTTTTTACCTCTCCCTGTCCTCCATGCACAGAAACCAGTTTAGGAACCAACTCTTACTTTAGAAATTTTGAGTTTATGGTGAACACAGAAATAGGGTAACACATAGAAAGTAATTATATATTAGGGAGTGAGGTTATTTGTAGGATTTAAGATGTGAGATAGTAAGTAAAGACTAATTAAATAATTAAATAAAATTTGATGAGGATAACTAACTGAATTGGGGAGAGACAATGTGTGCTATTTTATGTTTGACAGAGAAAGATACAAATAAAAATTCAGTTTATACTATACTTCTTATGTAATTGGTTTAGATCCTAAGACATTAATGTAAAAGTGCCATTTCCTTTAATCTCACACTTTTTTATTAATTTAGAAGAATCTTACATATTAGAAAGACATTTAATTTTATTTATTAAACTCACAATTGGAGATAAGATGACACAAGTCACTTTTGAAACAAGTCCCCACTCATGGTTTTATATACATAATAGTCTTTACATTTGGTGAAGAGAACTATTTACCTCACCCTCTAGATTATATGCTTTCAAAGGCCCTCTTGAAGGAAATTGAATATCAAATTAATTTGCAGGAATATAATGTGCCTGATCAGGTAAGGGTATGCATATTCAGCCTAATAATAGTAAGATGCTCAGAGATTTCAAACTGATTACGTTAGTAACTTTATAGGAGTCTTGATTGTTTCTTTTTCAGAAAGAAGTCATTGTAAAAAGGTATTTTGATACTGATTAGAAATATATAGCCAATATTTTCCAGAGGAAAGTAACAACTGTTTCTCAGTCTGTAAATTATAATCACTATTTGGAAACAGAATCATCTCCTTCCACTTTGTTTATCTATATATATAAAAGGCTAATATGCAAAGCATCCCTTCAGGAGCTTGCTATGATGTGCACTGACCACCAGGGGGTGTCATGGAACAAAGGGAGGCCCTGGCTGGCAGCCAGAAAGAAGGCACCAGCCAGCAGCTGAAGGCCCCATCAGCCCTGATCACTGGCCAGGCCTAGGGACCCTACCTGTGCATGTTTCATGAACTGGGCCTCTAGTTTTTAATAATTAAGTTTGTCCAAGGAATATGAGTTAATTATTAGACTACTATTTCAATGGAGTGAGAAACAAAAATAATTCACAGGAGGGTTGGTGGGCTGGCCAGTGATGTTGAAATTCTCAAGATGTATTTAGAAATGCACCATTCAACATGCTTCATTTCCATGGTCAAAGTAGTACTTCTCAAAATATTGTATCAGCTCCTGTCTAAATAGGAGCCCTTCTCTCTCCTGGAAATTATCTTTTTCATATGCTATGAGATTTGATATCTTTAGAACCTGAAAGGATCCTAATGATACAATCTCGTATCTGCTTGGTTTTTACTCCATAGACAACAGGATTCATAGTGGGAGGTAGGAGCACATAAATATTGGCCACAATGATGTGGCAAGATGGAGGGATTGTATGACCCCTGAAACGGTGGGAAAAGAAGGAAAAGAAAGCCGGACTGTAG